ACTTTGTAATATAAATTATTACATGTAATTTGAAATATATATTTCCAATCTCTTATGTTCTTTAACTAATTTATTTTACATTTATACCTTCACTATCTTATGTATTCATCCAATTAAACCAGCCCCCAAAAAAATTCGGGAAAGCAATAGAACGGATATACCCGGAGCTTTTGATGTCAAACCTAGGGACAATTTATTCGGAAAAACAAAAATAGTGGATCTTGAGAACAGCAAGCAATGAAAATATTAAGAGTGCACTATTAAAATCGTTTAAGGATATATTAGTTTTGAGTGTGTAAAACCTAATCCTGCCTTCCAATCTAAAAGAAAAAAAAAAATTAATTTCAAAATTTATACTTGGAATTAATTCTTCACAGAAATGTCTAGTCTCATATATGTTATATATTTGGCTTTTCTATTTTATAATGTGACTTGTATATACCGTTGAAATGTAAGTTATTAGGAAGCATCATGCATGTGCAGGAAATGTCGAATTATCAAAATCGTGGACAAAGGAAACGTATGTTGACAAAACCAAGGCGGATATATATATTTTTTCCCCTTTCAAAAAAGAGAGGGTAAGATTATAAACAGAGACGGAGCCAGTATAGGGCAAGGGAGGCAGCTGCCTCCCCGTAAAGTTTTGAAAAATGTTTAATATATTACAAATATTTTTTTATAATTTTTTTTTTAAAGTTTGAATTATAAGGATCATTCAAATATAAAGAAAATGTTTGTGACTTAGCTAAAAGGATCATTTATGACTAATCCTTATAAACGTACAATAATTTTATCTAGGTAAGTATCAATATAAAAACTAGTTTAGATCTTATTGTATTAATTATAACTTATATAAGTTTTACATTAGTTATATATAATTTTTGTTTGTATAATTAATAGGACCATGATTCATGCACCCGCCGGTTCGACACCCGACGGGTGCACACTGTATAAACCAAAAAATTTTAAAAGTAAAATTTACCTTCTCACTAAATCATTTCCCAAATGACAGCAAGAACAAATCCCAGCAAAACTCAATCAAGCATTCAAGCACCAAATCCATCCTTACCCTAATCATCTGCAAAACAATTGGCAACTGTACTAGGTTCCCACCTTCTTCCTCCTTTTTTTTTCTTCATTTTTTCGCTCAAGTTCTCCAGTAGAACCTAGATTTGGGTTTCTTGAGCAGAACCTAGATTTGGGTTTCTTGAGCAGAACCCAGATGGAGAACCCAGATTGGGTTCTCCAGATGGAGAGAGAAAAAAAAAAAAGAGGAAGAAGGAAAAAGGAAGAAGATAATGAATTTGTTAGAAGAGGAAGATGGAGAGACGAGAAGAAAAATGGGTATTGTGAGGAAGATGACTTTTAAGGTTAAATTTATAATTTTATTCTTATAATTATTTGGTTTTGTAGAGTGTGCAACCCTGGGTGTTGAACCGGGGGGTGTACTAGGCATTTTCCTAATTAATATTCTATTAAATTAATAGTTGAATCTATTTTATTTATATAAATTATATATTCTAAATTTAAAATTAATTTGATA